GACAACAAAAGAAGGAATGGAACAAGAGATCTGTGGTGGGAAGATAAAATAAATGTATGTTAAAAACACCACAGGCTAAATGGAACACAAAGGGTGAAAATAAATACTTTCTTTGGAGTATTTTTCATGTTTGGTAAGAGTCTGTGAGTTTCCCGAATACTGTTTTCTGCATAGCTATGTGATAATCCCCCTTCTTTCCTGTTATAATATATGGAGAACCGCTTTAAATTGCAGTAATGAAAGGAGGGATAGCATAAGGAAATAAGTGTAAGACAGGAAGGAGTGGCTGCGCTTCTGCATGTTGTTTTCCCAAGTTCACAACACCACCTCACAATTTACTGTATTCATTAACTTTATTTCTTCCTATTTACTGGCTTATTTCTGTAATGTAACATCTTGTGATTTTTTTTAATCACAAAAATATTGCCTTCTACTAAACAAATTGTATCTGTGGCCTTTGTCTTACATACATGCCTTTGAAAAGAAACTGAGTGTTTTTCCGAACTTTGTGTGAAGATTTTCTTGACAAAGTGGAAGTGCACAGAGTTGATTAAAGTAGCAATATTGTTACATTCAGTAATTAAATTAACTTTTTTAATTTTTTATGTCATAGGAGTTATTTTGCTGCACCTTTTTGTCCCCATCAAGGTACTTGTTTGAGAAAGGAGAAAATGTGAAGAATGCAAAAATATATAATGGTTTTACAGATTATTCAGTGTAGACACACTTAATTTGTCAGACAACCAGTAAGTATGTGGTCACATGTAGTGAAACTTTACCACTGCTTTCATGATTGCTGTCAATCATTTTGTAAAACTTCTTTTAAAATATGTATAGCAGGTACTGCTAGTAGTTATTTCTTTAACTTTGTGTCACATGTATTTCAGAAAGCTAATGAGACCATGTGCTATGCAGTACGTGGCAAATATGTTTTAATACACAGTATGTATGTATGTAGTGATATAATGTCTGGCAAGAATGCTTTTCAGTTTCTGCTCTGTGATTTTAGTTGTTATTGGAAAAACTTGCCCATAATCATATTTGAAACTTTTAAGCATATTTACATTTTAGTGTGAGAGGAATACATACTATTACTTATTTAGGTCCTGAGTGGAATCTTAATCCCAAGAGAAAGAATTTGTGTTGCTATTTGTGCCATGTGAGGATTTTTTTACTATTTTACTCCTCGTGTTAAATTGGTTCATGTTTTTCAGTAGTTATGTGGCTGAACCATAAAGCAAAGCCAGACTTGCTCTGTGGCAAAACAGTTGGATTTTGGTTTTGTTACAAAAAAAACCCCCACAACTTCTCTATATCTTCTTAATTATCCTTTCTTTCTGTTGAATCACTGTTTCTTTATAGTCCTGAGATATGCTTATGGACTTATCAGTATCATCTTTCCAGTTTTCCAGTACTGTTTCAAAATTGCTGTAGTCAGATTGTATATCTTTAAAATGTTCTTTCAGAAGTTCAGCAACACTTTTACTTAGGTAATTATACCAGTTAATGCACAGTACTTTAAGTTAAACAGTGATGATGTGCACTTCCAAATGCACAGAATGCTTCTTGTGTTGAAGGATTTTTTGTTTCTTTTATTATTCCATTCTTCAAGTTGTAACATTCATGAATTCATAAAGGGTCTGACATAAAATAATATAGATTAAATGTGCCAATATCAGTAGTGTAAGAACAAGAGTTAGAGGTTCCTAGCAGAATAAAATTGTATTAATTTCAGTGTGGGTTTGTGTGAGTGTCTGATGCATGTGACATACATGATAGTTGATGTGAACAAGACCAGTGCTGTAAAGTCAACATGGGATTTCATGTAGGAGTAAATAAGTGACACACATACACAATTTGGTAGAGAAAATGTTTTATGAACAGAAAATAGAAAGCTGTTGAAAGGAAATTTTCATTGTGAAATAGATTTCAATTGGTTTATTAGAAGGGAAATATTAAAAGATAATTGGAAAGAAATCAGCCATCAGAATGAAGAATCAAGGAGAGTAACATATGAAGTCAAGTTCAGAGGAAAGCAAAATATTGTGGATTGTTGACAGTGCTGGAACATTGAAGTTTTTATTTTTTTAAATATTAGCACTAGCAGAAGGATACAGGGAATATTTTCATCTATATGTGTAAAGCTTACCTCTTCTTAGAGCTTCATACATATATCACTCAGAGTAACAAACTTCATATTTGACCTTTAGCGAACATGGAAGCATCTCAAGAAATACTTAAATAAATGGTTTGGTTTTACTGACAAAATGTTTATCGTTTTTAAAAAATAAATTATTGGCTTTGGGAGTTGAGAACTGGATTTAAGTTGGCAAACTTTCAAAAAGGTTCACAAGTTCAACAGAGCCAGTTGTGTTTCAGCCTAACTGGGTGCCATGTAACCAACTGGCATTGCTCCAGAGAGCTGAGATAAGTTTTTTAGGGGTAACTCATAGTGACCATGGACTTCCACTGGCATTAGTTCCTGCAGCACTTGGAGTTAACTTGCTTATGGTAATTTTTTCTACATCAAGGAAAAATCTTTGAGCAGATAATTTAGGTAGAAGAGCTCTTCATGTGTATGTGGGGTTATTTTGCTGTTTTGTTTTCAAGTTTAGCCGTGTGGGCAAAAGTACTTAAAAGTTTTGTACTTCCAGAACTAAATATGCCATTTATGAGTTCGTTTGCAATTAGTGGTACTTTTTACATTAATTCTTGTTCTGCAAAGACAAGCATTTTTACAACTTTCAGTGTGTTTACAACATTTGGCTTTTTTCCCAAAGAGATTTTTCATCTTCTGTGTTTGAACAGATGTGTAAACCAAGGTATTGCTGCCTCATATACTTTGGTCTTGTTTAATAAGAAGTAGGTGGATGCACATTTATGGGGGTTTAAAATGCTTTTAAGACAGGCACTGACCAGGTTAGGCTTCTATTCTATACATGTTATGCTTGCTTGAATTAAACTGTATTATCCTGATTTCCTGACAGAGTGACACATACACTAGGTCTTATTGTAGTGAGAGATGAATATTTTTTCTTGCAAAGATTCCATCAAAATAAATATATTTTAAAACTGCCTTTATTTTCTTATTTTAAAATACATTTTCCGGATAAAGTTCTGCATTATCCATGCGTGTTTTAAAATAAAATTGGTAAACATCTTAAATGTATCCTTAACTGGCAAGATAACTAGAATATTTATGCTGTAGATAAAATCTGTGAATTCAGTCTTAATTTTGTTATTATCATCATAAATTATTGGGAGAACAGGGTTTTTATCTTAATTGGGACCTTGGTTTTAATTTTGTGTAATATAAATTTTAATAATGCAGTGAAATTTTGGTCTTTGCAGTTGTACATTTACCTTAAAGAGTGAAAATTTGTGTCTGTAGGTCCCTTAATATTAACATCTCTCTTTGTATGCTAGTTTGAGTTTACTTGCCAAAGTAATGGATTGAGAACAGATGTGAGATCCTAAAGCTCAAGAACTTTGTGAACAGCCCAGGGAAATAAAGGAAGTGGAGATGGATCAAATAGGAACACATTTGGAAGAAACACTAGATACAACCCAGATTTTGAACTGCAGATCACAAGGTGTGAACACAGCTTGTGTTTTCATCTCTAAAGCAGTGTTAGTAGGGCAACTGAAGATATCACTAAGCATTTATTCTTTCCCTTGATCTTATTTTGGGGGAAAAAAAGTGGCTTTTCTTCTTTTTTTTTTTTTTCCTGGTTTTCCCTACTCTTCAAACATATTCTCTAATTTCTGTATTTCCCATGCCTTGCCTTTTGGCAAAGGGAAATTTTGTCATGAATTTGTGAGAATTTCTGAAAAATTACTAAGGTATAAATAGGATTATATTTTTATGCAAGACATTGACTTTGAGCACCTGATGAGTTGATCTGCAACACAGCTTCTTGAATTTTTTTAAAACATCTAGATTTTTATGACTATTACATGTAAAATTTGCAATCTTAAGAAGCTTCATGTGACCATTAGTGTTTTAATCTTATAAGTATTGTAATGAAAGTGTAATGTGTAATAATTTTTTCTGTTCCTTTACACATGAGTATAGTGATACATCTTCCAAAAGTACCTTTACAATTCTGAATAACTGTGTGTTAGAGATTGTGATACTGAAAAAAATTGTTTACCTGAACTTTGGTATCTTTGGAAAGTGTTGTGATTATTTGTACTCTTGAGTGTTAGATCGCTAAAGTAACTAAGAGTTATGAATATGCACTGTGCAAAATTTGTGAAACGTACATTAACAAGCAGGAAACTGTGAATCCCAATAATCCATTAATCTCAATAAAGTGATCCAGGAAACTATTATGTATCTATTAAGACTGTAAGCTATTGACATGAGCATTTTCTATTTTGTAGGAATATTTGGGGGTTGTAGCTGAAATTTGGTTCCTGTGACACAGGATTAAGTGTTTGTTTAACTCCTATTTTTGCATTACATAACATGCAGAGGTCTTTCATTTAGCCGTGCATTTAACCTGTTTGGAAAAACACCCTACCTTAATTCTTAGAGAACCAAGACTTGCCTTCAGTATCCCTAGAAGTTTATGACTGAGTAGGGAGTCTACTCTGCAACTCTCCAGCTCAGTATTAGAATCATAGAGTCATAGAATCCTTTAGATTGGAAGGGACCTTCAAGATCATCAACTCCAACCATTGAGCCATTAGGGCTCTAAAGTCCTCTGCTAAAACAGATCAGAATCTGTCAGGGCTGGAAGGGACCACAAGGGTCACCCAGTTCCAACCCCTCTGCCATGAGCAGGGACACCTCCCACTAGATCAGGCTGCCCAGAGCCTCATCCAGCCTGGCCTTAAAGACCCCCAGGGATGGGGCCTCAACCACCTCCCTGGGCAACCCATTCCAGGCATTCAAAGCATTGAGTGCTAGCTAAAAGTGACAGAATTGGGCACAATAGAAACAATTATGTCAGAGACACAGCTGTTTTAACAACTTCTATGTCTCATTTTCCTAGAAAAATGAAGAAACCCCAGAAGATGACATAGCAGACAAGAATGTTAATAAGGGAGGGCAAGAAATGGTGGCTAACAGTAATCAGCGTCGCCTGTACCTTATGCATCCTGTGACCCAGAAAAACAAAAAAGTACACAGAGTAGGTTCAACCACTTTCTTGGTTGGAAAGACACCCGAAGGAATCCGCAGGTGAGACTCTTTTGGTGAGATGCAACTAAAATTCTGACTTTGAAATTAACCCTCTGGGCAATTGCTTTTCCCTTTGTTTCAACCATACTTGGGGAATATTGATTATTTTCCATGGCAAGAGCAGAACTAAGGGGAAAGCTCCATTCACACCATAGGTGGAGTATGACAATTGATAAAATGAATTGAATCCACAAATGATTTTAACATGTCAGTTTAACGTGTCATATATTACATAGCTCTGCAAATATCATCACCACAAAAGTTCATGGTATGTGTATCATGCAGTACTACAAATCAGTATTTAAACTGGATAGAAACAAGAAATTTTATACTGTGAGTTTCTGACTACCTACTGGTTTTGCCCATCTCATTGATATTTTTTAGTGTTTCTTTTAATGTTTTATTCCCCCCTTCTTTTTTGGAGAATAGTAATTTTTCTGTCTCCTTGTTTTCCTTTTTTCCCGGAACTGTTGCTTTTCTTAGTATAAATACTTAAATCTCATTGTATACAGATAGAACTTTAATAACAATAGCCAGATGACAGGTGGAAATAGAAGGTAGAAAGCTGTAAACTAACTAGGCAAACCTACAGAACTGGGATTTGGTATATGTTTTCAATTTGGCCTTGAGCCAATTAAATTACTGTATGAGTTGGTATCTAGGTAATACCTGTTCAGTAATCAGTGTTCAGGGTATTGAGTGCTCAGAGTATGTTATGTTAGCCAGCTGGCCTCAGCTATCCAAACTGTTACTGTTGAAGTGACAGGCTTGCTTACTGAAAACTCTAGATATTTAAGAGTCAGGTAGAGGAGAACCCTTTGTGCTAGAAATATGTATAATCATAGTTATCAGTAGTTTGTTGAGGTAAAAGTTTCAAAGGCAATGAAGTGACTAAGAATGTTATTGCAAGACCCTAAAGCCGTCATCTAGCAAAAAGCTTAAGCAGCTTCACTCTTAAACCTTAAGCAGGTCATCTGCTAGCACCTGGCTCATGGTTAAACTTGGTATTACATCTGGATATGCTGCGCAGTGAATGAGGATGATGAGATGCCTCAGTTTGTGCTGTAGTTGTAAGGCAGAGTGGGAAGCTGTCTGTAGTCACCACATACAAGGGGTATGGTTGGAGGTAGCCAGTCAAGTGGTGTTTGAGGCCAAACAGTTAAATCTGGGTGCCTATTGGAGCTCTCAGACAGCAAAGGCAACAGGTTTCATGTTCTTTCTCTGAAAAGCGAGCATAAGCCCGGCTCTCCAGCCTTCCAGCTCCAACCTGGCCCTAGACTATGGCTTACTCAATTAGGATGATCTCCTTTAATTAGAGCGTGGCACGGGACAGTCCCTGTCTCCTGTGAATGTGTTTATCCAGCTCTTGTTTAGCAAGTCCTTTAAAAGGAGTTTGAGCAAATATGTGTTTTTTTTTCTTCCCCACCTTGCCACACCCTTCCCCCCCAAAGAAAAAAAATTAAAAAAAATTTCAACTCTCTGTCCATCTGCAACCTTTTGGTAGCTAAATACCTTCTGAAATCCTGTCCTTTGGTACAATATCTGCACTGAAGGGTAAGTATTGTAAACTGGGGAAATCACACTGGAGTTTGGGATTCAGAAATCAGTTCTTCTAAGGCCATTCTTTCTTCTCTTTGCTAATGAAAACAAGCAATGCTCCTAACAAGGAGGTTACTTTTAGCGATTATATTCTCAGATATGTGAAGTAGGTGGGTTGAATTAATTGGCTGAAAGATGCTTTTGTTTCAAGCTAAAGGTGCCAAAGCATTTTTCCTTCTTGCTAATTACAGGAGACAATTTGAGGAAATGGCATCCCACTTCAATATGCAATCAGTGGAGGAACTTGCAGAACATATAACAAAAGCTACATCAGAAACAAGGCAGAAGATGTTGAAGGAATTCTACATTTCCAAGCACCCAGAGATGGAGTCGTTCTTCTCAGCCGAAGTACCAGTGCAAGCTTCACATGGCTGTGAAGAAAGAGAATTGGGTACAACACGCTCTAGAAAAAGAAAATCCACTGTTAATTCTGCAACATCTAAGTCTCGATCTTCATCGGGTAAAGAACTACTTCTGAGCAGGACTACAGAAACACAGAGCCATGAAGAAACAGAGCAGCTTCACAATGACTCCTGCTTGCAAGATACGTGTGTTGATGCAAAATATAAACAATCACCCACAGTTGCTACTCAACGTATCGAAAGGAGAAACAGTCAGGCATTCAAGGATTTTATGGCATCTGGCTTATTAAGCAGTAAATCAGAAATAATTGAGGTGCTGCCTGTAGAAGGCTGTGAAGGACAGCAGGACTTGGAAGGAACACAGCTGCCAAGAAAAAGATCCCTGTCTCAGTCAGAAAACGGGGGGAGAAAAGCTGAGACTTGTAAGAAAAAGTCTTTTGTGGACTTACTTGGGGATACCTCCATTCTCAATGACCTCTTCAGAAATGATGGAAATGAGCTTACAGAATCACCAAGAAGATTCACTGTGGGGCAAGCAGAAAAATCAAAGGAGAGACCAAAAGATTTCTGGGACATGCTGAATGAGCAAAATGAGGATAGCCTCAGAAAGCTCACAGACATAACAGTCATAGAGAAGCTATGTGAAAGAACAGCTCATCCCTCCACGACAGATGAGAGAGAGGTGTGTGAAAGTTCTCTCTGGAAAAAAAATGAAAATTTTCTATGGAAGAAATACAGTCCAGATGATTCGCATGAACCATCCACTGCTACATCTTGTAATGTAGTAAAATGAAAGCTTTCTACATGAGTTGCACTATGGTTATTTTAGTTGAACATTAAAATATGCACAATTTCAGCAGTATGCAGCAGAACATCTTACATCCATGAAACTGAAGGCAAAGTGATGAATTCATATTTATGGTTGATAGGGACTTATATTTTACAAATGTGAATATATATGTAATTATATATGTAATGTGTAGTATATATGCACATAATAGTGCATATGTATTACGTATTGTAAGCTATGATATATTAATTTTAAATTAAACTTTTTAAATGTCCTGAATGCACTTTGCTTTCTGGTATTCTGATTATATTCTTAGACTCAGTAGCGGTACTAAGTAATTTTTTCGCCCTTACATTTGGACAGCCTCAGTTATCTCAACAGAATCTAGTGGTATTAACAGTATTTAGCAATGGTATTCCACAGATTTGATGAGCTACTGGAGACTCGGAGACTTTTTGAAACAGGGAGGATGTCTTTGTGTCTAACAGCCTTTGATGGATTGATTTTTAAAATATTCCTTCCTATTTTTATAGACTTTTGATATGTCTTAAAAATTCTTTCCAAGGTATACTGAGGGGAGAGAGAGGGGGTGTGGAACTTGCTGGATCTCATTTTTATGCCAATGCTTAGTATACTGCCAGTATTTCAGAAAGGAGGGGTTCACCTTGCCAGTTGTTGAGAATGTACAATACAGTATGTATGGAGTAAAGAATTTCTACATACAAGTTATCATGTTACTCCTGAAATGCTGGCTGTAATAAAATGTCCAAATGAAAACTGTTCTTCACGGACTGGAGGAGTGGTTATAAGATAAGCAGTGTCATATCTCATTTGTTGAATAGTCTGTCACATTTGTCAATGGCATGGGATCATGTGAAGATGTAGCTTGTCATAATACATAACCAGAGGAGTCCAGGGATTCATGTTGCTCTGGAAATCTTAACCCTAATCTTTGTTTTTTGTAAGCTTTGAAATCTCAGATGTAGCATTGTATTAGTATAGCATTTTACATTGAGTGTAGTGTATAAATTGTTTTATATGAAGGGTAAATGTTATGAAATTTTAAGACCTTGGACACTGAAGCTGCACAGCAGCAGTCTGTGAATGGTGGTAGTTTTTGTGGTCTGGATGACTGCCCACTGGAAAATAAGCTTAAATTCGATCTGGAGCAGCTTCTACTTTAGGTCATGGGAATCTGTTGTAAGCTTTGCTCTGTCTTCACGTTAACCATTATGTGCTTATTGTAAGTGGAATCCATCTAAAAACCTAACTGGGAAATCTTACTTAACTACCTGGAACAAGGAACTCAGTATTTATTAATTATGATAAAGTAGTAAAAAAACTTGGGTCTTTACAGGCAGCTAACATAAGTAAGACAAACGTGTTCCCTAGCCATTTTTCTCACCATGAATCTATACTGTTACTATTCTGTTCTATCAAATGATAGTTAAGATACAAACAAAATTAGCAAGGTCATTTGGAGCAGCTTTTAATGAAAAGTCTCAGCTAAGAAAATAAAAGATGAAGCCGTAACCTTTAGTTATTGGTACATTTGAATTATGTGCAGCTCATTGAAGTCAACTTCAGACAGGGAGTATCTGCCCTCTTCTTTTTGATGTTAATAGATAGGGCATAAGTGAAGGTCTTTTAATGGTGGCTTTAATTAATTATTTATTTTCTTTACAGAATAGCATTCTTCTGCTTGGAGAGGCTAACTTCTGTTTAGCTAAAGAACATTTGGTGCATCAAATGCATAAAAACACTGCTGCATAGAGAAAGCTAAAAGAGTTAAGTGGCTTAAACCACACCAAAGATAATTAATGTAAGATAACAGAGAAACTCTGTAAGGGTAAATATTGCTTAATAGGTTATGCAGTGTGGGTACTGGATGTCATCAAGAATGGGAGACAAATATCTGTTACAGGTTGCATAGGTAAAACTGACCTGTCTTGGGCCTGAAGGAGGGGCTGGTAACTTCTCAGTTTGAAGGCCAGAAAGGGCTAAATAACCTTGTTGTTTTCAGCTGATAGCAGGGTACAAGAGAGGCTTCACCTGAGCACCATTAATTTGTCAGTCATGGTCTGGATCAGTAAATACTGGGGAGGGCAAAATCTAATCATTAGGTAAGATTTTTCATTTTACCTCTTTTCAAAGAACCTCAGAGCAGTGGAACTGTACAGGTAGAAGGCTGAACTGCAGGGCTTATTCTCAAATATGCAGCCATTGTGAAGTAATCAGGAAATTGTCATCTATAAGGTGATGATGTGCATAAATCAAAATCTCCAAAGAAGTACTTGTTTTATTCACCTGTATGCCAACTACTGATGATATATTTGTGGAAATACATTTATCTGCAGTTGAACTGAGCTAGCTACAAGAAGATGTCTTGAAGTCAGATTTATGTTACTCTCCAACTTCCTGTATAAATTGAACATATTTTACTAGGGAGTATCACCTAGCCCGTAAATACTGCAGGTTAGTGCCCTAGGGCTCTGTGTATGGAACATTTTTTGTCATGAAAAAAGTGTCTGTATGATTTAGAAGAAGAACCTGAACAAATTAATCACTGGTATGACTCACAGAACTGGAGTGCCGCATTAGATGGCCACAAACTCTTCGGAAGGGACAGGCCAGGAGGGAGAGGTGGTGGAGTGGCCCTGTATGCTTGGTGGGTACTTTGTTGACCATAATGATGGTGATAATAGGTTGAGTGTCTATGGATAAGAATCATGGGGAACACCAACAGGACGGGTATCTTGGTGGAACTCTGTTACAGAGCACCCAGCCAGGATCAAGAAGCAGATGAAACTTTATGTAAGCAGCTGGGAGAAGCCACAGTCACTACCACTTCTTCTCCTGGGGGACTTCAACTTACCAGATCTCTGCTGGAAATACAATACAGCAAAGAGGAAATAGTCTAGGAGGTTTCTGGAGGGTGTAGAAGATAACTTCCTGACACAGCTGGTGAGGGAGGCAGCTCGGGAAGGTGTCCTGCTAGACCTGTTTGCAAACGGAGAAGGACTTGTGGGTGATGTGAAGGTTGGAGAGCATCTTGGGCATAGTGATCATGACATGATAAAGAGTTTTCCAGCCTTGCGTAAATAAGGAGGGGGTCAGTAGAACTGCCAGCTTGGCCTTACTGAGGGCAGACTGACTTCTTTGGGAGACTAGTTGACAGAGTCCCTTGGGAGGCAGTCGTCAAAGGTAGAGAGTCTAGAAAGGCTGGACATTCCTCAAGAGGACAATCTTTCAGGCACAGGAGCAAGCTGTCTTGGTGTGCCGTAAGATGAGCTGATAGGGAGGAATACTGGCCTGGCTGAAGAGAGGCCTTTGGCTGGAACTCAGGAAGAAAAGTCTATGGCCTATGGAAAAAAGGACAGGTCATTCAGGACTACAAACATCTTGTGAGGCTAGGGAGGGAGAAGTTTAGATGGACCAAAGCCCAGCTGGAACTTAATCTAGCTACTGCCATAAAAAAAAAAAATAAAAAGTGTATAACAAAATAGAAGCCAGCAGTGTACCCAGGTGGCCATGAAGGCCAACCGCATCCTGGCTTAGATCAGAAATAGTGTGGCCGACAGGACTAGGGCAATGGTTGTCTCCCTGTACTTGGCACAGGTGAGGTCACACCTTGAATACTGTGTTCAGTTTTGGGCCCTTCACTACAAGATGGACATTTATGTGCTGGAGCGGGTCTAAAGAAGGGCAATGAAGCTGGTGAAGAGTCTAGAGCACAAGTATTATGGCTGAGGGACCTGGAGTTGTTGAGCCTGGAGCAAAGAAGGCTCAAGGGCAACCTTCTGTCTCTCAACAACTCCCTGACAGGATGCTGGAGCTAGGTGGGGGCCAGTTCGTTCTCCCCAGTAACAAGCAACAGGACAAGAGGAAATGGTCTCAAGTTGCAGCAGGAGAGATTTAGATTGGATATTGGGGAAAATTTCTTCTCTGAAAGGGTTGTCAGGCATTGGAACAGCTGTCCCTGGAGGTATTTAGGTGTGTAGATGTGGTGCTGAGGGACATGGTTTAGTGCTGGGTTAACATTTGGACTGGATGATTTTGGAGATCTCTTCTAGCCAGAATGAATCTGATTCTAAAAAAGGAAGAGTTTGAGCTATATTTGAAGACATATCCTTCAAATATTAAAGAGATAGGATTTGTCTTGGAAATCTGTGAGCATCATTTTGTTTGGCTTTAAAAATTAAGGAGGCTTTGGGAAACACTGTGTTTAGGATTATGGTGGAGTGGAGTTGATGCAGCTTCCACATGCAGATTCCTGCATGGTTGCAGGGCTGCAGTGTCTCAAGGGAAGCTGAAACAGGCTCCCAGTGTAGGGA